GTGTAACACCCTTGATCATGTTCTGTACATGACTACAAATAGTGCGCACGGTAGCCAGTTCCTTTCTATTTCCCCACCATTTGTCAACCCGGAGCTGTAATAGAACAAAAACTTTAGAAGAGTCTTTCCTGAAATAAGCAGACTTAAAAGACAACAATCCATTTATTCACTGAATTACTTCAGATTCTAATTCAGAACACGTGATTTCCAACTGGAAAACTTCAACTACATATAAAACCTGCAACAGTTATCAAACGTTAATATTATCATATGCCACGGGTATGTAATTTCACAAAAGAATGACAAAACACCGGTTTTTACACGAGATGCAACAAACTTCGCATCTGTAAAGCTAAGCCATCAGGGTTAAAAGACCCATTATCTGGTTCCCAAAAGTGGTGCAAAGCAATCTCCAGGAAAATAAAACCTAACTTCTAACACTACTAAGACCTGCCACTGACTACGAGTTTTGAACTTTATAAACCGCTGTATTCAGAATCTGGTTTTTCAACTTCCCTAAAGCAACACTGGCTACTATTTTAAAGCAATCATATCTGATGCGGTCTTAAACCACTATCTTCCAGACAAGCAACCGGAGTGTCCAAAAAGAAATAAAACTCACCCTCTTCTTTTTCTTTCCGAGGAGACTAAGTTCTACATTGATGTGATTGAAGTCCCTCCGCAGGGTTCCTCTGGGCCCCTTCACAATAACTGTGCGTCCCTTAAGAGTGATGTCGACTAGAAGAGAGAACGATTCGTGAGGCCACAGAACAAGGCTTAAGAGCATGCAGTAAAAATGTAAGAGAAAAACATCGAGTCTCATACCGTTTTCTGGAATGTCGACAGTCTGATTGCTGAGAATGGTCTTCATTCTGAAACACAAACACTTGGGGTAGTAAGGCCAGGCACAGGGCCCGTCTCCCACCAAACCACAGCGCACCGAGCCCCACTCCTACCGGAGAACGCAAGGCGGAAATTCGGGGGCTACAGAACTGAGAACAAGAGCGACCCCCGGGGCGCCTCGGCCTGGAAGGAGCATCCCAAAAATGGGTGTTAAGGCCGAGCGGGCGAACTCCCGCTCAGTTCAGCCCCGGAAGTCCTATCCGGGCGGCGCCATCCCAGCAAGACTTGAGCGGCGGGGGTAGGCCCAAAAGCCCAGAACAGGAACTCGCATCCCCGCGCCACCCGGTCCAGATAGCGCTCGCCGAGCTGGGGGACAACCGGGGTAAGGACTCTGAGCGTCGGACCCGCGCCGCCAGCCTTCCCAAAGCCGATGGCTTCAGATTCCCAAGGCCCACCGACTACAGATACGCACTCACCTCGCAGCAGATGCAGCAAAGAGACAGCGTCTGTCGTCATCACGTTCTTGTAGCCCGTAAGGGGAGGGGGGACCTGCGTATTGCGTCATGAGTGCGCGACTCCACGAAAGCTAAAGCAGCCAATCACGGAGCAGCTCGAGTTCCACCGGGAGAGTCGTGGTTCAGGTCATTTGTCATAAGCTGAGCGACGGCTTTTTGATCTGTGTTTTCCCGGGACTTAGTGATCCCTCTGCCATTCGACCCTGCTAGACCTGAAGAGATGTCTCTACGCTGCGGGGACGCCGCCCGCACCCTGGGGCCCTGGGTGAGCGACAGGGCAAGCAGGGTTCCGGCGTGGGGTGGAGGGCTCCTCCTATCCGTTGCGAGCGCCCAATAATGAAAGCCAACGCTTCCTGAGCATTTGTTTCTAGCCAAGCGCAGTTCTAAACGTTTTTCAGGTAGTATCTCATTTAATTCTCCTGCCGCCCTTATGAGGTAGAGTCTCTGGCATTGGTTTGTTTTAATGTCTCTCTGGGATGGCGCAGATGGCTTTTCCCGCCTGCTTAGAGTGGTTCGTACACTATATTTATTGGAGCACTGCAGTTAGCACCCCCAAATAACTATTGTGTATCCAGCTCTTACTGTGTATTAGACACCACTCTAGCCGCTAAGAACACAAACCTGTCCTAGGCTTTAGCTGTAGACGTGGACAAGAGCAGTAGCAATCATGCAGCACCCTAACAGGCACTCTTTTTGAATTGTTGTAGGTTCCTTTGCGTTACATGTACTGACTCGTGAATTTTGTAGTGTTTTGGTTATCTCATGCACGTTCGTGTTCTGTTCTGCAAGCCAACTACCGTGGTTTCTTATGCTAAACAAATGTATCTTGAGTGACTGCCATGTTCAAACGCAGAAACAATGTAACCTAGAATATCGAAACATTAGGTTTGGTTTCCCTCCTTCCAATTGTCTGAAACCAACTAGGCATTACTTCTATGTTTTAACACTTATGCTTATCCAAATCCCAAAGCTAGAGAGCTATATTGCAAATTTCCTTTTAAACATCCTTGACTCAAGTCAGAAATAGATATTTTAAAGCTGTGCCACCTTGTCCAGTTATTGCAGTTCAAGCTTATTAAAAAAACACTTTAGTACCTGTTAGGTGTAGTATATGAAAATGTGACATACGTTGGATAGTTCCAGAGGTTTCCAAATCTATTCTAGATCTGGTGGTAAACAGTTAACTCCTATTTTTTAGGTTTGGTTCCTTCTTCTTTAGTGGTCTTTAATCTTATATTTTAATTTCCTGGGCAACTAGAGCTCCTGAATAGTTTGACATAATTACTTAGTCACTTCTTTGGCTTTAACCTCCCTTTTAGGTATTATAATGGGTTAAAACCAAATTATTCCAGACCCCAGTCATAATGAACTCTTTCTTTCTTTAGGTGTTTGGAAGATATTTGTATAGCCCAGTCAGACCATTAAGTTCCTTGCCAGATGAAAAAAAAGAACTTTTACAGAATGGCCCAGACCTTCAAGATTTTGTGTCTGGCGATCTTGCAGACAAGAGCACCTGGGATGAATACAAAGGAAACTTAAAACGCCAGAAAGGAGAAAGGTAATTGAAAAATTGAGATAATTTTAATGTCCCATTCTTTCATTGTGCATAATTTTCAAATATAACCTAGAATATATTTTTAATTTCAGATTTGTTAAATTTAGCTAAAAGTAATTAGGAAGAAGTGATGACAAACCTAGATAGAACAGGTAACTAAGTGAAGTTGTTGGAATCTTTTTCTTTTCTCTGTGCCCTTTGACAGTTTTTCTT